TGTTACAGGTAAAACATAGAAAAATAATTATTTTTTCTTGATATGTCAAAGTGACAACTGACAAGTAAAAATAAAAATCTATTTTAAGAATAAGTGACAACTAAAAGTAAACGGAGGGAGTATTTATTTTAGGCAAAAGGGCTTGATATATCCCTCAACTTTGTCATTTAGAGATGATATACTCTCGTTATGAAATTAACACATATATACTCCTATTGTTATATAAATGGCTCACATATACCATTTCCCTCTAACGGAAGTGAAAAAAAATAATTTTAGTTAAATTTTTTTAAAAAAATATAATCCATATGGGTATATTTAATACTCCACATGTATTTTTTTTTACTTTTTTTTATGTTTCAATGACTAATTTTAATTTATTATTTTGATGGTCAAATTTATTTATGTTTCACTAATTTTCTTGTAAAATTTATTATTGACCTAATTTTTTTTCAATACAAAAACTAAATTACAATATAGCCAAAAAGATAATTTTAAATTATAATATAGCCAAAAAAAATAGTTTATTTTTTTCTTTACACTAAAGAATGAAAGAAAAAAAAAATAAGAATAAAAAATTCAAATAATAATAATCAAAGAAGTCAAAAAATAACTTATGTATGAAAAAAATTAAAATATACCTTGAACTTTTCTTGAAGGATCATATTTACTCCAATATAATTTTTTAAAAAAAATTAAAAGTCAAAAATATAAATTTAAAACTATTTTTTTCATTTCCGTTAAATAAAAGATATATGTGAGCTCATTTTGTAATGATGAAAGTATATGTGAGTCGTTTATATAACGGTAAGAATATATATATATATATCACTATCATAACGAATGACATAACAACTCCAAATAATAAAGTTGTGGAGTATATCAGACGCTTTTTTTCCCTTTATTTTAAAATGGGTAGAATTCATTAAAGAAGAGCCAAAGGGGTGTGAAAGAACACGTCGTCGCATATGACCGACCAGAATAGAGAAATTCGAAAACAATTAAAAATAAATAAATAGACAGAGAAAAATGTTGACAACAAAAATATTGTTTTTTTTAATGACAAATTGATATTAACTATTTATAATGATAATAATTTGATGACAACGACTACATGTTGTCTCCCTAAACCACGTTTTATTCAACAAGTCTTTTTAGCATACAGCTGTTAATACCCCTTTATAAAACGACAAAATTCCAATAAAACATTTTTTAGTACATATAATAAGTGCCCCCAACGAGGGGTCCTTTTAACTATAAGCCAAAAAATATTATAAAAATAATAATACTATGAATTTGAAATTTCAATTATTTTTAGACGACAATATGTATGCCATTTATCATCAATTTTTTGTTGTCAAATCAAAATTGGTGTTGCGCGGTTTTGAAGTTGGATCTGTGTGCCGACTTATATAGATTTTCGTTAAGCAATGACGAATTCAAAATTTTTAAAATATGTATATATTATGGTATAAAATGACCTATAATTCGCTAAATAAATAATTCAATTTTTAGTTGTATCATTTAATGTTATTGTAGTATAAATACCAATAAACAAAATTATATCTTTTTTTTAAATAAAAAAATCAGCATGAATTATTATTTTCATTAAAACACCTTTTTACTTAACTAATTGAACTTAAATATACACTCGATCTTGCAACAGAAGTAAAATACACCTCTAAATTGTCGTCAAGTTTAAGATTGTTTTCAAAACTTCTCACGACTTTTTACTAAAAAAAGAACTTCATGCTCCAACAAAAGTTTGAAACTACTAGTTATGTCATGTGGTAGATTGATGTATATATCTAACTTTAATTAATCAAATAAAAAGATATTTTTAAAATTGTCAATAATTTAACGACAGAAACTGATAACCATTGGTTATTAGGTGTAACTTGTAAGCAACCATTAAAATAGAAAAGTTGAAAGGTAAATGTAACAAATAGAGGACAATTTGTCTTTTGCTATTATTACTCCTACAAGTCTTTTTTGATTTCACGTTTTAAAAGCTTATTTTCTTCTTGAAAGTAATAATTTTCCAAATTATGTGAACTATTGTCAAGGGTTACATCAATGCTGTTTTAGATATTTTGTTGAGAGTTTTAGTATTACAAGAGTTTACATTGATCTCATTCTAAGTATAATTTGAAAGAGTTTACATATTTTATGATATTATTTTGAAAAGTTTGAATTGTATAATTTAGAAATTTCAGAAAAATAATTTTTTTCAATTATAGAAATCTAAAATGGCTCTTTATGAATTTTATCTGATAAAATAACTATTATTATTCTTTTATCTCAATTTATTGACACATTTTCATTTTCGGTTCATTCCAAATAAAATGTAACATTTCTATAATTAAAATAGCCTAACTTTGAAATAATTCTTTTAACTTAACTTTACAAAAAATCTTTTTATCTTTCATGAAATGAATCACAATCAAACAAATAGTTAAAGAATGTCTTAGTCACAAATTTCAAAAGTTTTTTAAAAAATAAATAAATTGTGTGTCAAGTTAAACAATTTACATAAATCGGGATGGCTCTCTCCATCCACTTTTACTTGTCTATTATATTAAAAATAAAATTTTCATTTTTACTTCTCATATATAGCCCATTAAGAGAAAAAAAAAATATTTCATGTTTTACCTTCAACATTAACTACTTATTTCTTAAATTATTTCTCAAACCTAAAAATTATACATCAATTAATATAAATATAATTGACATGCAAAGTCCAGAGTCGATAAATAACAATAAAGAGAGAGTATTATATATTCTAAAGGTGTTCACCAAGTCACTAACATGGGTTGTGGTGCACTGATGAGATTGTTTCATCAATAATCAGAGGTCTCGAATTGAAAGCGTCATTTCCGAATGGACCCTGTAGTGAGCCATTTGAATTTAATCGAAACTCTAATATATATCGAAGACAAGAGTGTAAAAAAAAAAGGGTGTTCACCAAGTCTTTCTTGAATACAGCGCCAGGCCTCCTCAACCCAAGGAAAAAAATGTATATAGTTGTATGAAGTCAAATTTAACACATTCAATTTTTAGACAAATACAGAAAATTCAGAAATCAGTTTTATTTTATTTTAATATATCATGGTCCCCCTATTGGGACTGGTACAAACAAGTGCTAAATCCAAAATTCCCAACCAATGGTTGATAAGATAAGCTCTCTAATATAATATACAAGAAAAAAGAAAAGACAAAATAATAAATTTAAAAACAAATTTATTGTATACCCAAAATTATCCAAAAAAATTCCCAAAAGACCCATATAGAAGAAGAAGATGAAATAGCTGACAAAAAATGAATAAAAATCCACTTCAAGAAAAGAGGGATAGAAAGCATTGAATCAATGTCCAATCATGAAACTATGTAAAATGTACCCATCATTTCACTTTGGATGGACAGGGTTTTGTTTTGGCTTTGTCTTTGGCCTTTTGGTTCAGGGGGGGGGGGGGGGGGATTCCTTTATGGTCCACACAACCCCACTTTCTATGTACTACAAAATTGCAACTATACCGACTTGATCACCTCCAATTTTAGTATATGACTTTTAGCAAACCAACCTATTTACAAGAGTTTTAGGTTATTGTTCGACAGAATTCACTAATTTTGATCTAAATTTGATATTTGAGTTCATAACACTTTTTTTGAATAATTGTTATGTATTATTTCATTATCTATCGCATTGTATTCTATCGTACTATATTATTTTGATGAATACAATGTTTTGATAGATTGTATTGTTCTCTGTCATTACATATTCATAATTTGAATGATAAACTAGTTGAAAAAGTAGGGTACGAGGTAGAACTACTATAAAAAGGTAGGATAAATGATAAATAATATTAGAAGGGTAACAACGCGATCATACCAAATCGGTCGTTACATAAAATGGATTTTTTCATCATTACCTAACAATGAATTTAACCGATATGATAACAATCAAAACAAATTTTGTATTTGAATTAACAATAAGATACACTACAAAGGGTAACAACCACCCAAACAAGGTGTATGTCTCAAATCTTGAATGTGAATTCCCTAAAGTTGCAAGATAACCAACTCATTTACATTAAAGTAATGACATACATAGGAAGCTTCCCCTAACCACACTTCTTTTGTTTTTAAAAACTTAGTATTGACTAGGTATTCTTAGTATCCATATATTTTTATTCAAGTTGTATTTTTACATAAAATAATATATATTCCAATACAAAGATAAATACCAAAAGCCAGTGCTACATTAGTTTATGTAAAATGACACTTAAAAATATAAACTTTAACTAAATATAACATATTATTTACTCTCCTTTCCACATCTTGTTTGTCATTTTGCTACTATTCTCTCCTTTTATAAAGAGTTTGATATGTTTTACTTAAAGCTGAGGATTTATCGCAAACGACTTATCAACATTCACAAAGTAAAAGTACGACTGTTTACACATCATCCTTCCCAAATCCCACGAACGTGGGATTAGAGTTTGTTGTTGCAGTACTTGTACACTTCTTCAAATCCCAAAGAAAATCAACACTAATGATAAAAGCACAATTACCTTGAGTTGATTTTTAGGGGGGGAAAGAGGACTCAATGTTTGGGACAAAGTTAACAAACAAAATCTTATACATATATTGCTTCTAAATCACAACTATAACATACAAAGTAAGATTACAACATCATGAATTTTCCAATCCATGTTCTGAAATTAGTTCTTTTTAGTAGTAGTAACAACTGAGACATCACCAGAAAATTACTCTTCTATTAACTCAACAAGTTACATTTCTCAGGCATCCACCCAAAAGGCCAACACTCCGTCAGCTAACGCCTTAATCGTCTTCAAATGACAAGAACCATCAGGGTGAACACTCTTATCAACAATGTAGTATGTTGATGACACACCATTATATTCACTACAGAGGAGGGAGGAAAAAAATAACCCGATCGAGTGAGATGTCAAGCTTGTGTTATATATTTAAGCTGCTGCCTGTAGTTGTAGTTAAGTAAGTCTAGGAATGGTTAGGATGTATAAAGCTTGTTATCTGCTCCATTAGGCAACGAAAATGATCGTTATTAGGCAAGAAATAGAAACCTATTGTTGCTTGCTTTAGATATAACAGATTCACCTCGTGCCCCGATTTCTGTAACCCTTCAACATATGTCAATTGCCAATCCTGAACAAGGTCTAACCCCGCTACAACGACTAAACTCTTTGGAAAGTTAAGTCCTTCGAGAGTTCTACCTCTCGGGCCGAAGATATTACAAGCTGGATGATCTCTATCTTCCCCTTCTGGTAAATAAGCTCTCCAATACCAATCTCTATCTTGAACTGTCACAAAGTATTTCCCATCCAATCTACTCTCTGATTCTGTTCGTTTTTGTCCACCAAACATCGGATGCAAAAGAATATTTCCAAAAACCTCTACCCCTGATTCAGCAGCCTGAACAGCAACATGATGAGCTATATTACCACCTGAACTATCACCAGCCATATATACATGAACTTTTAAATCCTTTCCACTTTGAAGCCATTGTCTAGATTTTACCCATTTAAGAGCAGCCCATCCATCATCATAAGCACAAGGATATCGATTCTCAGGTGATCGTCGATAATTCACAGATACAACAACAGCCTTACAAATACTAACAAGACGACGACAAAATGTGTCGTAAATAGCACTATTAGCTGATGAATGAGTAAAGCTTCCACCATGGAAGAAGATAATAACAGGTACAATCTCAGTAGTACTCAGGGGTTTATCAAGATCAATTTTACCCCAATCAGACTCATTTTTCGGGGCAGGTTTATAAACACGGTTAAGTAAGCTCGTGGAGCGATCAACCACGTCAAATGAATAGACACCATCAACTGGAATCGAGTTAGCAGGAACTTTTCTTTCTAAAAACTCAGCTAAATCACGGTTAAATGTTCCATCAGATCTTCGTAGCATGTTGTAAGCTAACTTGAAATTGGATATAAGTATCCATGTATTAAGTGGAACCACCCTCTGCATAACATAACAAATAATTGAACAAATATTCAATCCACAAATAGGCACAACACATAAAGAAAAACATCATTAGAATTTGTATGCATAGCCAGAAAGAGAAAGTAAACCAAATGGTAAAAGAAAAAGAATCAAAACCCCCAAAAAAGCAAAAGGTGATTTTGTAAGTAAAAAGGAGGTTTAAATATGTAGAGACAAGCCAAAGAAACACAAGAATGACAGACTATTTACCTAAATCAATGATAAAGATCCATTCTTTTTACTCAAACACAAAAACACAAAAGGGTCAAACCCCAAAATTAGAGAAAATTAACACAAAAGGGGTACCTTAGATTCATTAGTGTTGATCTCCTTAGTGTCCACCATGACTAAAAGTGATTAAAGATTGAAACTTTGGAGAAGAAAGTTAAAAGGGTATAGTGATCTTGAAGAATACAAGGTTCATACTGAGAAGAAGAGTGGTCCAAAGATGGAATTTTTTGTTTCCTTAACTAAAACAAGAAGAGAAACACTTGTGAAAGAACAACAACAGTGTCCCAAAGAAAAGAACAGAGCAGAAATGTGGGGGGGATTAAAGAGAAGGGGAAAGAGAAAGATACTATTTATCCCTAAAATTAGAAGTTTAAAGCGTGGAGAATTCACACACACAGAGAAGCAGAGAGTGAAATAGGTGAAGACAGAGAAAGGGGGTAATAAAGACGACAAGAATAGTGAACAAATAGAAGAAAAAGAGGGATGAGAGAGAGAGAGAGAGAGACAGAAACAGAGTCATTAACAATTCATGGTAGAGCTGTTTGTTAACTGTTAATGCTGTTTTTACCCCCAAAAATGAAAACTAATAAAGAAATTAGAGAAGACCAACGAGGGTTATCTATCTTTACTTAAAAGTCTTGAATACGAGATCGTTGAATATAAACTCGTCTTTGTTAAAAAGTTTTTTATTCAACGTAGATTTTTATATTTTGAATTTAAATTTAATTAGACTCCAATATAAGTATCAAACATCGAATGAAAACCAAAAAAAAAAAATTAAAGAAGAATCACCAAAGGTCCAAAAGTTTATAAACTCGGTTCAAACGCAGCATAAGACAAATATAGAAACACGACTAATTTAGATTTGTGTCAGAAAATTACATATTAGGAAGTACAATGTTTTTAATTCTATATAAAGAATTCGAATTTGAGTTTTGAGTTTTTCTAGTTTTGAATAAATGAAGAAGTAGATATCATTTCATCACGATCTTTGATAGTACTAAAACTACCATCATTATTTGATATTTTGTATAAATATATAACTCTTGTTTCCCGAAAAATAAAAAACAAAAATGAAAGAATTTGGTGTACAACAAGAGTTGCACCTTCAAATTGTTTGTTTGAAAATTTCACTTATTATAGCTTCATTTCTCAATTGGACAGTAGAATTATTATGAAACATATAATTAAAGTTATTTTTTTTAATAAATATTGAAGAATTACTTAAAATTATGGAGTATTTTTTATCGAAGAAAAGCAAAAGAAAAACTTTGATTGACATTTTTCACAGAATGGAAAATGAATTTTAACATTGTGTAAATATCAAATTATAAGAAAGTTAATTATCTCAAAAAAATTATTTAAAAAAGTAAGTTTTTAATAAAATTTAAAATGGTTTACATGATTAATTAATTAATTACTAGTACATAAAAGTATTCAAGTATAAATTGCTATATTAAAAGTACACTATAATATAAGAAAGTATTTGCTAAAAAAATTTCCAAAATAATGTCATTATCTTATAAAATGAAAAAATAGAAAGAAAGAATATAGTAAATGTTGTTTTAATTGTTTATGATAATATGACAAAGAAAGGTGTGGAAGAAAAAATAAAAAGAAGCGTGCAGTCAAACGCAAACAGACGGCGTTGCTCATCAACGGAGGCCACACAAACGACAAAGTAAACGGCTAAATAATAATAGCACCCATTATTATTACTTATTTTTCTATCATAAATAAACAATAAATCATCTCTACTTTGTACTACTATGGATATATTTTTTATTTTCTATTTAATGTAGAATATCTGTATTGGAGATCGAATAATCTAAATGTGTAGAGTCTCATTTGGAGGGATAGTACTTTGTATTAAAAAAAAAATCATATCTAAGACTCACATTCGAAATATTCAAAAATAAAATAAAAAAATTCATTCATTGTATCATATCTTTTTGGTGGTGGATACATATTTAGAGAGAAATATTGAAAACACTTTTGAATTAGCTAAACACAAATTATTAGTTTCGTTTCCAAATTATTGATAGTTTTAAAAATACTCTTTTACTTGACTAGCTAAATTTAGATTCACACCGATCTACCACATGATATAGTAAGTGGTTTCAAATTCTTGTAAGAGCATAAGACTCATCACAAAAAACTGGAAAAAATATTGAAAATATCTCTAAATTTGACGAAAATTTAAAAAATATTTCACTCAGATTACAATATCAAAATGGAACTAGTAAATTCACGCTAAATTTAAAGATATTTCTCTCTATCTATTTATTATTGTGGCATAACACTCTTTGTATTTTCATACTACAAAGTTGGCTTATATTTTTTTGTTCAAATTAGTGAAAAGTTAATGGGAAACTTGACTTTATTAGAGAGCTAAAAGTCTGGTACAGTACAGAAAGCACTCCATTTTGTTCCCACGCCACAACTTTCCAAAGGGTTAATACACATCCACGCCGACTACCCTAATCATCACTTAACCCCCTTCCTTTCTTTTAGACTTGAGCCTATTTTATATTTTTAAGTGGTCCGACCGGGGATAACAATAGGACGGGGCGGATACGAGAAGAGATGGATTTAAGGCTATGTGGGGCGGAGCGAATTTAAGGTTATGCGGAGTGGAAGAGATGCAAGTGGTTGAAGTGAGTATTTTAATGAAAATATGTTTTTCAGTGAGTTGGTTCGATGAAAATAAAAGAAAAATAATTATGTTTTATAATTAAAAAAAATTGCATTGATATACAATGGTAAAACCTCTATTTTTAATAGTGATAAGTGTATTAAAATATAAATAAGAGATAAAGATCTGAAAAATACCTCAACTTTGGTCGTATTTGCTGTTGCGATACTAAACTTTCATGAGGACCTATTACCTCCCTAGACTATTTAATACCGTATTTTAAACATATATATATTTGCCCACGTGGCTCATAAGAAATAATGCAAAATTATAAATAGTAATGTGTCCATGTGGGCACATATATACCTTTAAAATACACTATCAAATAGTTTAGGGGGTAAAAAATACGGTATTAAATAGTCTAGGGAGGTAATAGGTCCTTATGAAAGTTTAGTATCGCAACAGCAAATTCGATTAAAGTTGGATATTTTTCAGACCCTTATCCCTATAAATAATAATGAATAAAGTGTATTGATATAAAAATAGTATCTCATATTATTAATTATGTCATTGCTTACCATTTTTATATAGTAATAATAAGTACTACTAAATACGGTATTATACGTAAATTGAAAACACTATCAAATAAAAAAATCATGTCTTATTTGTTTTTAATACCTCCTCCCATGGATTTCTTAATTTTTTAAGTTGTTTGTAGTTACATTAATAAGAAAAAATAATACCTATATAAATTCTAGCATAAGTTACACAATATTTAGTTGTCTTTACTCTTTCCACATAAAATATAGCATTATGAATACAATACTTGGTTGTGTATTTTTCGTACACAAATACATATGAAAAATATGTTGTATAAAACGCATGAATAATTTTCACTAATGAGGTTTAAAATATAAAAAGTAAATGTATGAAAAGGTCAAAGAAAATTCAAATATATATATACTTAAAAAAAAAAAAAAACGAAGTGATTCGAATGAACCCCTTGATTACTCCGTTAAGCTTTAAATACTACGTACATGATAAATATTTCTTGCGGCACCTAAATATATTTATGAACTCACCTATTGATTTTTTTTTTTGTTAAATATATCATTTGGAATTATTGAATTTTATATACTAAAGGGAGAAAAAGAAGTGGAAAAATTAATTTTCTTCACCGACGTATATTATTAAATCACGTTGATGTCAGCATAAAGATCACGTAAAATTATACTTTTATAATTTTACTTTATTTATGTTCCCATTACTCCCGCCTTTCCTGTTGCTTTTTATTTCTAGAGTTTATTTATTTATTTTTGGCTCAATTGCTTGTGATATTATTTATAGTAAATTTAAATATATTTTAAATTATTATTAATTATTGTGATATTTAGCATTTTTCATATAATTTCTAGCATATAAGTTTTATTTTAAATAAAATATTTTTTTTATATCTAAATTCACATCAAACATTAATTAATTTGACCATCGTATTTTGAAACAAATTAAAACAAACGAGAGCACGTATATGAATTTAATGTGATTGAATAGAAAATAAATTATCGATCTAACGCAACTCCTAATAGCTCACGAGACGAAAATTATCAAAATATAATATAAACCCACACACCATCTTATTCCCTCAAAAGTCCTCAACTAGTGCGAAACATATACTATAAATTATAATCTTATTAAATTAGTATTAGTTGTCAAGATGTCATCTAATAATAGAGTATTAATTACCACAAGGTCATGTTAAACCGCACCAAATACCCTATAGTTCTTAGCAATCATTTTAGTTTTAAATGATATTCTATTATAATTTAGGATTTATGACCACATAAATACTTATATATAATTTATGACCATTTTTCTTAAAATCTATTTTTATTATTAAACTTTATCTCTAGCCAAATACTTTAAAATAAATCGGGATGAAAAAAAAGTATTTATTTGCTTGACCATAAATGTCAATATTTATACCAATGTAATCATATAAAATAAAACGAAAATGGAGGAAAGGTGAAGTAAGCTAATAAAGCAACAACATGAGAGGATGTAGTATAGCAAATCAAGTTCTTTTTTTTTAATCAGAAATTTTAAATACCTTAACAATGTAATTAATTAAACTTTAATATGAATATAGAACGTCGAACAAATAAAGCATTGTACTTGTGAAAGTATCAAACAAAAAGGCAAAAGAAAAAGCAATTACAAATATCTAACTCCACGACGAAACACACTGTAAAAGCCTCTACTTTAATTTTCCATGCGTGCGGTCCACGCCAAGCCACGTGCCTACTGATTTTAATCCTTATTTTAAAATTTGTTGACTAATCTACCCTTCCTTTCAATTAAGAACTACAAATACACCATTTGATAGTGACACGTGTTCTGTGCTAAAGCGCGTGATGGCATCTATTTTGTCGTTTTCTGGTACAAAAATTTGAAATCAGTGCCACATCTTTGACGGATCGAAAGTATTAAATTATGATTTTAAATTAACAAAAAAAATTTACATATATATATATATATATATATATATATAATATTTAAATTTTATAATTTTAAATATATTTTTAAAAATTAAAATTAAAGAATTAAAAAATATATAGTTATTGAAAAAAAAAAATTGGACAATAAATTGAAACGTACCTTAAATCACCTCATCATATATCTTAGGGAAAATGTCTGATATAACTTCAATTTTGTTATTTAGAGCTGATATACCCTTCGTTATGAAAGTGACTTTCAA